TACACTGTCACCACTCTTATTCAATATAGTTCTGGAAACATTAGCCACAGCAATTAGACAAGAGAGAGAATTAAAGGAATAAGGATTGGAAAGGAAGAAGTGAAATTATCATTATTCACAGATAACCACATGGAAGGCCCTAAAAACTCCACCCAAAGACTCCTAAAATTAATAAACAAATTCAGTAGTGTAGCTGGATAAAAAGTCAACTCAAAAATCAATAGCATTCCTGTACACAAACAAGAAACACACTGGGAGAAATTAAGGAAACCACACCTTTCAGAATAGCATGCAATAAAATAAAATACTTAGGAATCAATGTAACAAAGGAAATAAAAGATGCATACAGTGGAAATTACAATACGTTGAAAAAAGAGATCAAAAAGTATTTCAGAAAATGGAAGGATATTCTTTGCTCACGGATAGGAAGAACCAACATTGTGAAAATGGCCATACTCCCAAAACTGTTATACAGATTCAGTGCAATCTGGATTAAAATACCATTAGTATACCTCACAGATCTAGAGAAAACCTTTCTAAACTTCATTTGGAACCAGAAGAGACCTAGAATAGCAAAAGCAATCCTGGGCAACAAAGGCAAGGCAGGATGCATCACAACCCCTACTTCCAGTTGTACCACAAAGCTACTGTGATACTTTTTTTTCTTTTTTTTTTTTTTTGGTTTTTTTTTGTTTTGTTTTGTTTTGTTTTTCCGGTACCGGGAACCGAACTCACGACCTTGCGCTTGCCAGGCAGGCGCTTTTGCCGCCGAGCTAAATCCCCAGCCCCAAAGCTACTGTGATAAAATCAGCATGGTACTGGCAAAAAAACAGACCCAAGGTCTAGTGGAACAGAGTACAAGATGCAGACACAACTACAACACACTCAGCCACCTTATCTTTGACGAAGGGGTCAAACATGTTCACTGGAAGAAAGGTAGCCTCTTTAATAAGTGGTGCTGGAAAAACTGGCTTTCCACATGCCAAAGACTAAAATTAGACCCATGTCTATCACCATGTACTAAACTAAAGTCAAGATGGATCAAAGATCTAAATATTAAAACAGAAACACTAAATCTACTGGAGGAGAAAAATAGGTAGAAATAGACATAGGGGTAGGCAGAGAGTTCATGAACAAAAAACAGAATGCATGGGAAATACTTCAAAGAATCAACAGGTGGGATCTCATCTTATTAAAAAGTTTTTACACATCAAAAGAAATCACCAATAGAGTAAAAAGAAAACCCACGAATTGGTTTAAAATTTTAGCTGACTTTCCCTAGACAAAGGTCTTCTTTCTAGAACATATAAAGAATTAAAACAATCAAACCACCAAAATTCAAAGACCCAATCCAAAAATGTGCATCTGAAATGAAGAAATACATTGTCAGATGAAGAAATACATTGTCAGATGAAGAAATACATTGTCATATGAAGAAATACAAGTGGCAAATAAATATATTTAAAAATTAAAACATCACTGAAATGCCATCTGACCCCAGAAAGAATGGTTATCATCAAGAAAGCAACCAATAAAAAATGCTGGATGGGCTGCGGGGAAGAAGGGACCCTTTTCCACTGTTGTTGGGAGTGTAGACTGGTACAATCACTATGAAATCAATGTGTAGATTCCTCACAAGACTAGGATTAGAGATCCCATTCACCCTAGCTATTCCCCTTCTGGGTATTTTTTCAGAAAAATTGAAAGCATCATACCACAGTGATATATGTGCACCTATATTTGTAGCAGTGCAAATTGTCATAGCTAAATCTTGGAAACAACCCAAGTGCCCATCGAAGAATGGATAAAATCAACGTGGTATTTTTATATAAGGAGTATTAATGAGCTATAAATAAAAATAAACTTTAGGATTATGTAGAAAAATGGATGCAACTGGAGACCATACTCATAAGTGAAATAAATCAGACCTGCATGTGTCTCCCTAATGTAAGAACCTGAAAAAGTAAATAAAACCCAAAAGGTACAATAGATATTGTGAAAGGGAAAGAAGTTGCTTGAAGGGAAGGAACAACTAGAATGAGGGAATGGAGAAAAAAAGAAAGAAGGAATGGAGAAAAACATATATGGATATTTAAGGATGGTTGGGATAAATGTAGTTCTGATATGTATTGGTTTATTGAAAGGAATAGTTAATCCTTAAATTTTTCTTTTTCTGACCAATTTTGCATGAGTATACCTGTCAATCTGAACAATTGAAGACAACAATATGCAATATAACAACCATTGTTGAATCCTTACTATCTTGATCAGGGAAGCTTGCTTCTAATGTCCTTTTATCATTTTTTATTTATATCGTTTCTAATGTCCTTTTATTATTTTTTATTCTCTTTAATGGTTTGATCAATCTTGCATTTTTACATCTGGTAATCTGAGCAACTTCGTTGAACAATATGTAATATAACAACCATTGTTAATTCCTATCACCTTGCTTTGAAATTTTGTATCATTTTTATTGTTTCTGTGATTTTCTTGGTTTTTGTTATCTTATTTTCTTTTATCTTTACAATAAAAAAGGATGTTTCTCTAGTCTATCTATGGCTCAATGCAATATAATTGAAATTGCAGCCATTTTTTTGGTAAAGATTGACATTGTTTCTTAAACATATATGAAAAGTCAGAGGACTTAAAATACTCAAAAATAATCTTATAAAATAAAAATTTTGCAGAGCTTTTACTACCTAAATCCCCAGTATAGTATAAAGCTACCATAACAGTTACAGTGTGGTATTGGCATGACAGTAAACATAAGCAAACATGCACTTATATGATCAAAGAGTGTTTTTCCTTGGTGTTTATCCACAAGAAATGAGAATATATGACCACTGAAACATTTGTTTGTAAATTTTTATTTTTTATTTGCAGTAGTGTAGTGCCTGATGCACTGTGTCAATTTGAGAAGTCTAGAAGCTTAAATAAGTAACTCTACAGTTCTATATTTTAGGGTGTAGAGGACTGCCCTTACCACTCTAGAATGTTGTTCATTGTGACAACTTGAGAAGTTTAGAAGTTTAATTAATCACTCAGCAGGGAGCCAGGGTCCTCACTTTGTAAACATCCTCAGCCTGTGCAACAGGAAGGCAGGGAGATGATGTGAGTGCTATGCCTGACCCAGGGTGAGTAACCTGCCTACAATATAAGGGAGGAAAATGGCTTATTGCCACACCCCTTTCTGCTCTTGTTGCTTTGCTGTCTTCTGCCACCTTGAAGTGTTGCCCCTTGCCATTCCACCCTGCCTTGGAGCCAGCTGATTATGGACTGAACCCTCCACAAACTGTGAGCTAAATAAACCCTTCCTCCCTTAACTTTGGATGTTGGGTTTTTGTCCCAGCAATGGAGAAAGTTAACCAAGACAAGTAGCTAAAAATTGTGGAAGAACAGATGTCCATTTCTGGGTGAAGGGGCAATGATGCTAGATCCATTTAATGAAATAATAATAACAAAAAGAGATGATTCTTGAAGGCAATATGTATGAATGAATCTCAAAAAATGTTATAATGAGCCAGATGAAAAAAGTACATAGAATATATGACATGGTTTTATTTATGTGAAATTCTGTGGTGCATACACTAATCTATGGTGATAGAAAGTACCTGAGGTTAAGAATCTGAGGGGAAATGACTACAATAAAACTTTTAGGTTTGATAAAGTATTGCATTGATTGCATGGATATTGTGTTCATCATATGCACTTATATCCATTTTATTGCATGTAAATTATTCTGCAGTGAAGTTGAATTTTAAGATAATGCATAAACTATCCATTGTTTTTAAAACTGGGAAAATGCTATTTCAGTTTCCCTTTGTTTTTTGGTGCTGTAATAATATTGGAGACATTTCTGAAAAGTGAGCTAATTTTTTTTTCCTTTTAATTAGCACAGTGGAAGCAGTGACATCATTTCAGCTGTGGTATTTATTTTAGGAAAGTCAACTTTACTAAGTGACATGAACAAGTAGTTTTAAGCCTAGTCATCTGCACAGACTCTTAAGAGCAAGAGTGTTTTGAATATGTTTATTTTTAATTCAGACAAATAGCTCACATGAATGTAGGTCCTAATTTTATGAATAAGAGAAGGAAAGAGGGATTTACAATATGCTGTGTTTATTTTTAGAAGGTATCAAATTCTCAACATTTCTACCGGAGAGTAGGAGAAAGTCCACATAGACTGATAGTGTCAGACCCATTACCAGTTCCAGGATCAAGAGAGACAGTTTTCCTTTTTATACCTCAAGACCTATCCGCCTACACTGCAAACATCAGTACATGAAAGGTAATAATTCTTGGTGGTGATGTCAGGTGGTCATATACAAGAAGTGTCGTGTTCACATACCAGATTTGCCTCAGTAGTTTTCATGAAAATCCTCTAGGTTGGCAGACTGACTTTCTCTGACACTGCTCAGAAGAATCCTGATTGGCAGACTGCAGGAAGACTGAATGGAGGGAAATAAGGGCAGCAGCAGCAGGGAGAGTGGTTTGTCTTTTCCGATGCTTTCTGGAGTCAAAGCATCTAGGTATTGTTTCTGCTTACACAGAACTTATTGAAATTTATTGTGTCTTTTTTTTGGTTTTGAATATGCCAAAACAGATCAACCTCTTTTTGAACAAATTGCCCCAGTGTTTTATAATAAAGTGGTAATAAACTGACTCCCACATTTATGGTATTGGCTTGCTGGACTGTGATGCCTACCTCTTCCCACTTACTGTATTTCCTAGCTGTCTTATTGTAGGAGCTTCTTTGCATCTTATTCTAATCTCTTGTTTTATCACTTTTTAATTAGAAAACAACTTGACCATTATTGCCCTTATGATATAACGTATATTCCAGCCTAGTTTGGAGTCTTATTAGTATCAAATCTCATTCACTTTTAAAATTTGAATATATTAGATACTTTGAAGTTTTTAAACTTATGCTCTGACATTTATTAAAACAAAATATTTAGGAGGATTTGATGTTTAAAGTATTTTGGCATTTCTGTTTGCAGTTCCCTGAATGTGGTTTCTATGGAATGTATGATAAGATCCTGCTTTTTCGCCATGACCCTACCTCTGAGAACATCCTTCAGCTGGTGAAAACAGCCAGTGACATCCAGGAAGGCGACCTTATTGAAGTGGTCTTGTCAGGTAGGACACTTTTGTGTCTATCCATATAAACTGTTCATTTGTATTTGGAGAATTACTGGGCATGTGTGTTTAACACAGCCATAGAAAATGGATGTCAAATTGGGCCCTGAGAAATTCGAGGGCTCTGTCTACATGAGCTTCCAGATTGTTTTGGAAGAGAAACAAAAGTTTTCATTGGATGAGCTTTTTCACACCTAATATCGTCTAGTCTGTATCCCAGCTTGATGTTCCCTCCCAGCCCCCAACAGCACATACACACAGACACACACATGCATGCACACACACACACACACAGACACACACACACACACACACACACACACATGCACAGAGATTCATTCATCGTTTTGAATCACTTGGACAACAGCAGAAGCAAACAAACCTCACCACAATGATGCTAAAGTCAGGGCCCCAATGGACCAGGTGTCTCCAAGCCAAGAAATCTTAACAGAACTCAGAAACCATTGCCTTGTCAAGACCAGAACCCTAGCAGTTATGGTGTAAGGCAAGACACAAAAGGAAGCTGAAGCTCAGGAGTGAGATGAAGTCAGGTCGTGCTGAGTGACACTAGTTAACTCAGTCCCTGAGAAAAGGCTACTTCCCTCTGCCCACATCTGTATTCCTGTTTAGGATTTAGAAGTTAGTAATAGGACTGTGCAGACTGTGCTTATCAATGCAAAAAATGTGGATACATTAATTTAAAAATAGTGTGAAAGAACAGCTGCAGTAGATACTTAAAATGATGGTCAGTGCAGCGATCATGACTGTATTCAAGTTTTAGTCAAAGTTTTTTAGAAAATAGTATTAATAAACTCAGTTTATATTGCTCCCTTCTTCCCTCAGAGTTTGATATTTCCTATCTTCTTAAAGGAGTTAATCAGTTTACAGATTCTAGAAGCTGGGCATGATGACACATGCTTGGAATCCCAGATATCTGGGAGGCTGAGGCAGGAGGATTGCAGGTTTGAGCCCAACCTGGGCAACTTAGGGGATGACTTCAAAATAAAAACTAGAGAGTATTGGGGATATAGCAGAGTGTGAAGGCCCTTGGTTCAATCCTCAGCACCAAAAAAGATGCTTAACTTCCTCAAATTCTTCAACTTACCAGAGCCATTGCTTTGCATACCAACTGTCCTTCAGTGTGTCCATTCTATTTACTTGCTGTGATTCAGCCCAATTCACTTTCTATCCCTGCTGATGCTTTTTGGTTTCATTGTGTGAGTTCCTGGGATCACCATGCTCAATCCCATAAAATATCTTTTTTCTTTTTTTGCTTGACAAAAGCAATCATTTTTTTGATTGTCTATAAGGCTATCATTTGCTAATTAAGTGCATCAATAAAACAAAAGCTGTGATAGTTTTTTTTATTTAAACTTTATGAAGAAGTTGCTTGCTTTGCTAGGTTCTCCCTTTTCTTTTCCTTTGGTACTTTTCACACTTGTGTACTGTACCTGGGCTTTTAAAGTGAGTGACTAGACGTTCTGTTTTCTAGGTTTCCTGTTTCCGAACACTGGCGGCTGCCTGAAATAAATTATTCTGGGAAATCAAGTGCTGGATATGCTCCCGCTATAATTCATATTAAACCCATTGCCAGGCTGCTTTGCAAACAGCATAATGTGTTTTATGAGTCCCTTTTCCCTGTGGCAATGTCCAGAGATCTATGAGGGTCTAAAAAAATGATATTTCTATATTTAATTTGTTTTTCTTTCCAGTTTATTTTTGTTATCAAATGCTTTAAAGTAGTAGCAGACAGCTGGAATGCAGGCTGCGTGTGTGTGCGTGTGTGTAAGGAAGGGCTGCTGTTTTCACGTTGTCCCAGCATCAGTGAACTGGGCCTGCACTTGCCACACCCCGCTGACCTCCCGCAGCCCTCCAGCCCTCGCTGCATGAAGAATAGCAGTCTTTGTAAACTAAGGACCTCACTGTATTTATGCTCCCCTTCTTTTTCCATCCTGCTTGACGTTCTACCTTTTCTATCTCTCTGGCCGCGATTGCTGTGGGGCACCTGAGAGCATCCTTTTCTCTTAGCTGTCCTCCAAGCACCAGGCTCAGGAAGGGCTCTGTTATTCTTCCCAGCTCTCTTGCTGTACTTACAAGGCACTTGTGGCAACAGTCTGATCCTAACTTTCAACCATATATTCTTACTTCCCTGGTGTCGTTGAACCCTTAAATCTTTCAACTATATGTGTGTGTGTGTGTGTGTGTTTGTGATGCCCCCACCATGTCACTGAATCTTATTCAATTATGTATTTGTGCATATATACAAATTATTCAGTCACATATATTCAATACTGTATATGTGTGTTTTGTTCAGGCCTCCTGTGCTTACCTTAACCATCGTTGTCAGACATACTCTTCTAGCTGCTTTCCTGCTCTAATGCTTATCTTATGATTTACTCAATAAATGTTGAGAATAGTTTCTAAAACTTCCCTGCTCCCTCCATACTAATTGACATTTCTTTCTCGTGCCTTGTACCTTTTTCATGCTCTTTTTAGACCTCCAAGTCATTGTGATCTAGTGCCTGCTATTTCTTCCTTCCTTCCTGGCTTCTCATCTTATTGGCAGCCTGGCTCTCTGAAAATGATACTCCCATCCTTTCAATCCAGAAGGCTTTGCCTCATATTCTGCTCCACTCCCAGGTGAAGAGGAGCAAAATGACCCTTTTTCACTCCCCGTTCCTATTTTGGGTTATTTCTCTACCATCCTTCCTCTCATTCAAAGATGCCTTTTTTTGTTTTTTGCAGTGCAGAAATTTATTTTCTCAAAGATTCATTTACATTTAAACATGGCAATAATGAATGTCTGACTCCTAATCTTGCCTTCCCTTTTGTGCTCCTTAGTGTTTGATTTATTAGTGCGTGTTCATCATGGGGAATGAGTACACATATGCATATGACACATCTTAATTCTTTTTACTTCCCCACCTTTGTTTTTTTCACAGCTTGTATAGTTTCAAGTTTAGTATATGTGCTGCTGGAGGGAGCAATGTTATGGCTTGTATCTAGATATCCTCCTTCCCCCAGACTCATGTGGTCATAGGTGGGGCACTTTCAGAGGGCTGGGTGTAGAGTGTGTGATGCTGGGATTAAGGGTTTGTAGTTGCTAAACTGGTCCACTGATTGATTTGGCGTAGTTCATGATGTGAGTGCGCCCCACCACAGGGCAGGCGATAAAGAGAAAGACAGAAGCTGCTATTGCCTCCTGTTGCTCAGTGCTTGTCACTTGCTTGTTGCCTTCTGCCTGCCCTGCCTTGCCATGAACTGTTTCTCCTCTGTGATGCCCATCTGCCAGGCCACGCTGCCTTGGAGCCCGCTGACTCTGGACTGAAACCTCTGTGAACTGTAAGCCAAATAAACCTTTCCCCCTTTAACTGTGGGTGTCAGGTATTTTGTCTCAGCAAGGAGAAAGTAACTAAGATAACATTGTTAATGTGTCTGATTCTTCAGACTCTTTGTCTCTTTTTGTTGAATAACTCTAGAGCCATGCAGGACCTCATGAATAAGATTCCAGTTCTAGGGTCTTCCCTTGGTGGCCCTCCTTGTCTCTAACTGCATGTTTTTCACCAAATTTTAGTGAATTTTTATCCTCTTTTCCTAGCAAAGCATGTCATACAAATGGGTAATCTGGATTTCTTTACTATTCGTTTTTGCCATTCCTGTTCCTGAGACACACAGGATTTCTCCACACATAACCCCCTAGCTGGTTGGCTCCAAACAGACCCAACTTTTACCTGGCATCACCTTTGTGCAGTAATCTCCTTCTGTCCTTCCCTTTGTTACCACAGATAGAAGATTCTCAAAAAGCATGTGTGTGTTCATTGTTTGACTACTGGCTATGAGATTAGAACTTACTACATGTGTAAAATTCTATAAAGTACTGATTTGTTGTAAAAATATTACTTCTAGATATATTTGTAAAAATAAACTAAATTTTATGCATTTACTTGGTCCACTGAAGAAAGTAGTACCTGTGAAGTAAGCAGGATTACACTGAATTATAATTTCAAGCAATGCAGATGATAATCACTGACACTTTAGGCCATGGATGCCAGGGAGTTGGGGTAAATCTTGTGCTCCATTCTGGACCCGGTTGCTGGGGAGGATGGAGTGCTGCGATCAGCCCCAGATATGTGCCATTCCTGGAAGTATGATTCAGGATCCACTTCACCCAAACTGCGGTTAATAAGGAAATAGGGAATGAAAAACACTGCACAACCCCGCTACTCCCTTTTGACCTATTATAATTTTATAACCTACATAAGCTGTGAAAAATTTCCCCTTGAAGACTACAGTTTTGCTGTTACATTTTACCTAAATTTCCCTTTCTTCTGTCATCAATTAAATTTGCTAATGTAATTTGATGTAAACATAACCTCATTCTAGGGGCTGGGGATTTAACTCAGCGGCAAAAGCGCCTGCCTGGCAAGCACAAGGTCGTGAGTTCGGTTCCCGGTACCGGAGAAAAAACAAAAAAACAAAAAAACAAAAAAACAAAAAACAAAAAAAAATAACCTCATTCTTTTTATATTGAATGTTTCACCTATAAGAACATTTTCTGATATAGGACTGCAATAAAAATAAGAGAAAACCTGGCAGAAAAAATAGTTTGTAGGAAGACTAAATATTTTCTCTCTTCAGGTAATATCAGAGTTTTTTTTTTTGCTTGTGTCATTTTCGACTGAGGTCTTTCACCATTTGTTTGGTGCTTTAGGAGCTACAGACTACTCAGACTGCTCCTTGCTGAATCCTAATTTCTCCCCTTTCCCTTTGGTTTAAAAAAAAAAACAAAAACCATTGCTTGTGTGAGTTAGTACGTTGAGATCCATTAAGCCAGGAAAACACTGTTCCTGAGTGGATACATTGTGTTAAGGAGAAAAAATTAACAGCAGCATGGAAGTTCTCTGCCACACACATCCCCACCACCGGCACAATGATCACAATTGTTGCAATTGCTATGAAGTGGGAGAACACTGCAAGTGGAAATTTCTCTTACCAAAGCC